CACAAAGTTGTCGTGGCACTACGCAGTAACCCAACCCCACTAAACTATTGTGAGGGTGGATGAACGCGCCTCGGTCAATCCCAACCTGACACAGCAGCGGAATGTTCCTTCTTACACGCCACCCCAACCAACCAACTCCAACTCGGCAACACCACTCACGACTTGCTAGGAAGTGGCACGCTTCCCAAGAACCGTGCTTACGACTTCCCCAGACCAGCAGCACCCTAGCACAGACTTTGTTGGTACTGCAGTAGTCGCGCGACTTCCGAGCATTTCTTGCACTACTGTTTTCAATGCTCGTCTTAGCGTAGTTGTCCTGCCAAGTCGTTGAGGGCCCTTGCTGTCGTAGGGCCCTCTAACATTCTCGACACTTAGACAGATCCGTACCACATGGGCTCTTTGCCAGGCGTCGTTTGCGAGTTCTGCAACAGATGGTTCCCCAACGCCCAAGTTTATGGCGGTCATAAGTCACGGCGGACCCCTTGTCAAGGGCTTTCCGCCGTGGCAAGGCCCTCGCAGTATGCACCGTCCGCCGGTCTACACGCTCTGCTATTCGTCCACGACATTCTGTCGGACGCTCCAGCCGCTCCCGCTACACCAACCACGTCTAACGCATCCAACATCGTTGGTGAGAGCGGTCCTCCAACCGTGCCTGAAGCTCGCGTTGACGACACTCCCACGGCTGTGAACGATGGGCCTCCTGAAGATGAACATCAACATCAACCTGGAACACATGCAGCTGACACGAGTAGCCATCCTGAGAGCCGTCCCGAAGGTAGTAATGCAGCGCCGCCGACAATCAGCTCCGGACAGAGCAATGCCACGCCCCTCAATCCGCTCGCGTTGAAGCTGCTGCATTTCGTTCGGCGCGTGAATGGCGGAATGGGAATGGCCGAGGTTGACATCAACGGCCTCCTTCAGCTCGTGGTCGAGCCCGGCCTTGCGCCTCTTGTGATCTCGGAGCTCCGGAACTGTAAGGATCTGGAGTGGTTCGAGTTGGAGCGCTTGGCAGGGCTCAATCGCGGATGGTCGGTGGCGACCTTTGAGATTGCCGGTCATCCACCACAGCGCCTGCTCTTCCAAAACTCTGCCCAGGTAAGCCGACTCCAGTTTCTGGGCTGTGAAATGCTGAGGCGGCAAACGGTGTTAGCGTGTATGGTATTAACCGTACTCCCACTTTCTCCGCCACTAACCATGCCCCTCCTCTCCCCTGCCTTCGCCACCGTGCACCAGGCATTCGCTGAAATGTTTGGGCATCCCAACAACGCGCCTGGCTTCAAGCTGAAGGCACGTGTTGACGAGGACCCTGACACGGGCGACCGTTGATATATCACGCCCGAAACAGGAACGTGGTGGAATGACGCTCAGGTAAGGAAATACCTCGTTGCCACACCAATCCCAATCCTTGCTCATGCCTCCATCGATGCACTGATGTGTCTGGAACATCTTTTTGGTGTTTGACCATGTGTCCGTTGCCGCTTTGTCGTGCACTGCAGGAACACTTCGGATGGTCCGAAGTTGTGAGGGGGATCATCCTGTATTCGGATGTGACGCACATGAGCAACAACGGCCGGAAGAAGGCGTGGCCGCTCATGATGACGCTCGCCAATATCACCCAGGCCAAGCGATGGGGGAAAGCCGGGCACACACTACTTGCCCTCCTTCCTATCCCCCCGTCTGCAATGTCTGCCGTGGAGAAGGTGATGCTCTTCCAGAGATGCGTCATCACCGTGCTGCAGCCGCTTCTTGATGGCATGGCAAGGTTCGTACGCATGCGGCATCTTGCTCTGTCGTCATCCAACCACCTGCAGAGTATGCAAAGTGTCTCTGTATGTTGCCTGCCCAAATGCCCATCTGTGTTCCTCCCTAAAAACCGTCCTCCGAATTCCTGTTGCCACTCTGCCTGTCCCATGCAGTGGTTCTGACTCAGGGACCCTTTCGGTGATTGGCAAACCGTGCGGCCCCTGCTGTACGCCTGGGTGTGCGACTACCCCGAGAGCGGCAAGATCAGTTGCACACTCTCGCATGGGTCGCGGATGCCGTGCAGCATCTGTTATGCTGCAAAGGTGAGTTAACATGGAATGTGCACGCATTTGAGTACATATTGGTTATACTCGACCTTGTCTACACTGGACACGAGCAGCCTCGCGTCGCCATCTTCCTACGGCTTCACTCCGTTCTCCTGCAGCTGGTCGGCTGACAACAGGTTCGCCTGGCACGCTCGGAACGTGGAGCACGTCGGGGATGAGGACCTGCTTCCCGGCCTCCCCTTGCAGAGCGACAGTGCCATGACCCTTGACGGTCTGCAACGCCACGTTGAAGCCACGCACATGCTTCACGTCGCCGCTTGGCGCCATGTCGACGAAGACTTCCTTCGTTGCGCCCCATCAGCTGGTGCGAGCAGCTGCTGTCGAGCAGCATCACCATTCGGTTCGCTTGCACGGCGGCCGCGACCGCCTTGAAGTCCTCCCCGGCTTCCGGCGCAAGCGAGACTGTCGGCTCCACCACGCCGACCATCGAGCACGACACTTCCCCGTCGTCTCGGCCCTTGTTACTGGAGGAGTCGGTGTCCTTTGTCGATGACGTCTTCTTCGACATCTGCTTCTCCTTGCGCAACTTCTCGTCTCGATGTGGGCGACAACTGGCCGACCGTCCGCGGCCTCCTTTGTTGTCGTCCTCGTCGCTGTCGTAGCGGTCAGGACATTCGAAGGAGAGGTGGTCGGGGTCGCCGCAGACCCAGCACTCCCGCCGTCGACCACCACCATTTCGGTCGCTGCCCCGAGCCGACTTCTTCTGGTCGACGTCATTCGTCGACTTCCCACCTCCGCTACCACCTTCGCGTGGCTTCCTCCGCTGCCCCTGTCGACCTCCCTGCTTCGTCGGGGCTGGGTAATTTGCTTGCGGAAGGAGCTCCGTGGGCCTCTGTGCCTCCTGCATCGCCTCATCCTTGATGATGTGGCTGGTGAGGGTATCCTCGTCGAGCGACTCCCCCATGCCAGGCATCACCACATCCGGCGCATGAGTTTGTAGCCGCTCGGTAGGCCTTTGACGTCGTGCGTGATGTAGGACGCCGTCGAGTAGGTGACGCCCGCCATCCGCATCTCGGCGAGGATCCGTCGAGCACAGTTGCAGTAGTCTGTCGCTGACTCCTGCTCGCCCATCCGAATGTGTGTCATCTTCTCCTCCAGCGACCGTCTGATGTACTGGTTGTCCGTCGCCTGGTACGTCGACAGGATGAACCGCCACGCCTGGTGGCTAGCATCCAACCGTTCTCGACCAGGCTTCAGCACTATCTGCACCTCCGGCAAGTATCACCTCAAGATGACCATGAAGATCAGCAGGTGAGCAGCGCCAAACTTCGCTTACAGCTCGATGTCGTCCTCGGTCGCCGTCGGCACAACACCGTCGGCGAAGCCTTTCAGCCCTACAATCTCCAGCTAGGGCTCGATAGCCTCCCTCCACGTGATAAGATCCCGTCGACCTTGCAGCGGTAGGGTCACGGCGATCTTGTCCGGCGAGAGCTTGAAGTACCCGTACCCCGGTGCGATCCCTCCCGCCGTCACACGCGCCGTCGACGAAGGCCTCCCACTGCTACGTGGAGGAGAGCGACGTCGCCCGTCGACGTCGGCACGCGAGCTGCCTACGACTTCCGTCGACAGCTGCACTCGCGCCTGATTCCCGTCGACGCCATCGTCGACAGACCTGATCACCCCTATCTTCTTCGTGCCCTCGCTGTCGCCGACTCGGTCACCAGCGCCGACCACCTCGTCGACGCTGCCTTCGTTTCGCACCGGTCGAGGAGAAGCAGGTCGGGAAGGGTGCTCCGTTGCCCACTGCGCACGAATACCCAGCAGAACTACCGTGAAGACGACCGACACCCGCCGAACTCCTGGAGAAAGAGGGGATGTGCAGCCTTTAAGGGAGCTAGGCTGGCGCACAACAGGCGCATGGTAGGCTCATAGTGGCAGGTGCTGGCACGGGCGCCAAAGGCACAGGAAATGGCGGCACGGGCGAGGCAGGTGCGAGCGCGACATAGCTGCAGGTGTGGGCGGCAGCAGGCGCAGGCGCGTATGCAGTAGGTGCGAGCAGCAGCAGCGCAGGCGAGGCCGCGGGCGCTAGGCGCAGCAGCGCAAGCGTGGGCATGGCAGGTGCTAGCGGGAGAGCGGCGGCAGGTGCGGGTGGGGCGACGAGGTTGCCAGACGGGGCGTTAGAGCGGAGCGCGACGGGGCGCTAGAATGGAGCGAGATCGGGCATTAGAGCAAGGCGCGACGGGGTGCTAGTATGGGGCGGAAAGGGGCCGTGAGAAGGGAGCAAACGGGAAGCTAGACGGGGCGCTAGGAGGGGCGTGACGGGGCGCTAGGAGGGGCGTGACGGGGTTGTGAGAAGGACGTGACGGGGCGGGTAGGCGGGGTGCTAGGAGGGGCGAGACCAGCGCCACAAGAGGGGCACAACTAGGGTTAGGTAGAGGGGGTGATGTGGGGCAGAAGAGAGTGTCCTAAACCTAGCGTGATGCCGTGTGAACAAGTGAACGGATGACTAGAATGGGGGCATACAATTAGGTTTTGTAGCAACCCATATCCTCTACAGCACAACCTAGCCTAGCCCACAAGAACACATGTAGCTACAAATATGTGTACTTTGCCAGTACGGTACATTACTTCGAATAACAAAATGGAATACTTAGGCATTTCATAAGGGTTTTAATTTGTGGTAACGCTGATTTTTCAGCGTTCTGTACTAACGACGGCACTGATGAATCAGCCATGGCCAGAACGAACCTGAAGGGCCTACTTCCACTCCACTTTTACATCCAACTCCAGTCATTACTATCCCGAAGAAAGTTACAGCACAAGTGCACAACTTATCAACTGGCCTACCAGTTTATAACACCACCTGGATGGGCGAAAATGAGTTGAAGAGGTGGTGAAGGTTCTGCACGTAGACAGAGATGCAATGGAGGGAACGTTGAGACAAGACCATGCACGCAGGAAAAAGAGTCATCATAGCAGTGGCAAATTGGACAAGGCAGCAAGATGAAACGGAATAAATCGAGTCTCCTCCAGCCCCGCTTCATTGCAGTGCACAGCAATCAGATGCATGGCACACAGCCGCGGGTTGGTGTCGGTGACGGTGACGGGGACGGGGACGGGGCCGGGGCCGGGGACGGGGAAGGAGGCGGCGACGGCGGCGGCGGCGGCGGCGGCGGCGGCGGCGGCGACGGCGACGGCGACGGCGACGGCGACGGCGACGGCGACGGCGACGGCGACGGCGACGGCGACGGCGACGGCGACGGCGACGGCGACGGCGATGGTGATGGCGATGGGGATGGTGATGGTGATGGGGATGGTGATGGGGATGGTGATGGTGATGGGGATGGTGATGGTGATGGGGATGGGGATGGTGATGGTGATGGGGATGGTGGTGGTGATCGTGGTGGTGGTGATGGGGATGGTGATGGTGATGGGGATGGGGATGGGGATGGGGATGGTGATGGTGATGGGGATGTTGATGGTGATGGGGGTGGGGATGGGGATGGTGATGGTGATGGGGACGGTGATGGTGATGGGGATGGGGATGGGGATGTTAGAATCTATCTTCTTGTGTAACCTGCATAGATGTTATAGGTTAGGCTAGAGTTAAGCACCCAAACTCAGTTTGGGTGTACAAACAGGGGTCACCCAGTTTGTAGGTTGGAAACCCAACCTTGGTCCAATTATTGGACCCCAAAGGTTGGGTTGGGTAGAATTATTGGTTCACTCCAATAATGTTGGCCCAACTCCAACTTGGCCAACATTATTGGACCCCACCAATAATTCCCCAACCCAACTTCTTGGTTGGGGTCCAATAATGCTCACCTAGGCTAGGATCCAACCCACTCCCTATGTAAACCCCCAATCTCCTCAATTCAATCATCAACTTCTCTTCAAACTATTGTTCTCACAGGGGATGGGGATGGGGATGGGGATGGGGATGGGGATGGTGATGGTGATGGGGACGGTGATGGTGATGGGGATGGTGATGGTGATGGTGATGGTGATGGTGATGGTGATGGTGATGGTGGTGGTGGTGGTGATGGGGATGGTGATGGTGATGGTGGTGATGGTGATGGTGGTGGTGATGGTGATGGTGATGGTGATGGTGGTGGTGGTGATGGGGATGGGGATGGTGATGGGGATGGGGATGGTGATGGGGATGGGGATGGTGATGGGGATGGGGATGGTGATGGTGATGGGGATGGTGATGGTGATGGTGATCGTGGTGGTGGTGATGGGGATGGTGATGGTGATGGTGGTGATGGTGATGGTGATGGTGATGGTGGTGGTGGTGAGGGGCTTGAGGGCAGCTCGTGTGGATTCGAAGACACCATGCATTGCAAGGGCACATGGCAGCAGCAGGAAAAAACTGGAGTTGTCATCAGCTTTAGTTCTGAATAATAACTAATGAAGAAATCATTCACAATAAAACAACCTCCCTTATTCAGAATTCTCCCACGCTCACACCCCACACTCACTGAGAGCCCACAGATCACATCAGGAGCCCTTCTCCTTGCCCTGCCTGGCCCGGCGTTTCTCCTTGGAGGAGAGGCTGGAGCGCAGCACCACGCCCTCCTGCTCCTCCAACAGCTGCGCCTGCTGCTTCAACTCCTGCTGCACCGCCGACTTCTGAGGGTACATTCCGGGCTCTGGTCTAACCTCTGGGCAAACCTCTGGTCAACACTGTAGAAAGCCTTACAATTAGCACAATTGGTGAGAAATAGGCATGATTTCGGTTGACCAGAGGTTTGCCCAGAGGTTATGACCAGAGCCCAGAATGTACCCTGATTCGCCACGACCGGGATGGCGGGGTTGGGGCACAGGGGTTGGGGCACAGGGGGGAGTGCAGAGGTGAGCACATGGAGGTTCAGAACCACACAGACAGTACTGCAGGTATGGCAGCCCCGCCCAGGCAGCACAACCCTCACCCCATCGCACCCACTGCACCCATCTCACCGCATCCCCCTCATTGCATCCCCCTCACCACATCCTACCACACCCCATCCCACCGCACTTCATCACACCGCAGAGCGCACCTCGCGCAGCTCGTTGAAGCTGACGGCAATGAAGGTAACGGCGGTGGCGGCCGTGATGGCGATGGCCGGCACGATGTAGTCCGCCGCCTCCGCCATGCCCGCTGCTCTGCTGCCCTACCCCTCCCACACGCTTGAGTGCCACGCTGCTCTGCTGCTCTGCTGCCCTGCCCACACGCTCTTAGGGCTCCTCAGAAAGTGCTGCGCTGCTTGCCCGCCGCCCCCTCACGCTCCAACCCCGCCCGGCCGCACGCTTGCACGTCCGCGCGCACGCTTGCACCTCCGCGCGCACTCGCGCCCACGTGCTCCTGTGCCGCCCCTCGCCCTCCGTGTGCGCAGGAGGCTCGTGCGGCCTGATGCGGCAACGGACACGCCGGAACCTGCGAGACACATTCACGTGACTCGGAGCGCGGCATGTGCGGCGCGCGGAGCACGCGGGGCATGTGCGGCACGCGGGGCATGCGAGGCGTGCGGGGCATGTGAGGCGTGCGGGCCATGTGAGACACAAGAGGGTATCGGTGAGACGAGAAGGCAGGCCGCCGCGGAGACGAGTGTGAATGGCACCGAGGGGCAGAGCGTTGTGGGAGGAGAGGCTACACGCGCGGGCGGTACGGAAAGGCCAAGGCAGAGTGGGCGGACAAGGGAAGGGTGAGAGGATCGATGGGTGCGCATGGGTGCAAGGCGCACGCGACGGGGCGATGGCGGATAGCGAGTGCTGTTACTACAGCGTACCTCGAAGGAAGACGCAAAGGTAGTGCGCCGCAGAGCACATGAAGACCGAGGGGGGAAGCGAAGCGGAGCAGCTGCGGTGGTGCATGCGCGTGGCTCGTTCAAACGAAAAGTGGAAGTGGAACAGGCAGGCAATCCGGGGTTGTTGCGGAGGCAAAGGTTCGCGAGTACCGTTTCTGGGTGTCAACGACGTCGCAACTGTGAGCTCCTCCTAGTGCGAAAACGGATAAGGTTCGCGAATGGAGATTTGCGGATTTGGTTACTCTGGAGGAAGATCGAGCGATGTGTAAGGGAGTGTGATAGCGATGATGGGATGGGAACCGGTTTTGACGGGTCATGCCCTCTTGGTTTTCGCAATTCATGGGGGTGCTTTTTCGACAACACCGCCATCGGGTAACATGTGAAAAATAATGACGCTTGTCGCAAGCCCTTGTAATTTTGTTGGTCTTCCTTGCTGATTGGATGGGTCCCAGCGGTAACCGAGGCTGCGTTCGGCGGCCGCATTAGCCCGCACCAATGGTGCTGTTCGCCAGCAATTCGTATTTTGAAATGAAAAAGATGGCATCGTCATCGCGACCGCATATGGAAACGGAGGTGGAACCCACCTCCGAGGTTTGGCCGTAATGCGGTTCAAGAAACTTCTGCGCCTGCGGTTGAGAAATTTCTCAACCGCGTCGGGAACCTCATCCTCACCTTCCCTCCGATCCCTTTTGAACGGCAATGCGACGGCTGTGCCATCGCTGTGCTTTGAAAAACGCAGCATGGCGATGGCATGGCTAGGGGATGGTGTTTTGCCTGGGGACGAAGTTTCGTCCCCGCTTCCATATGCCGTCGAAGCGTTAGATTTGGTGGACAAAAGTGGGCGTTCGCCAGACGCCCACTTTGTTTGTTGGTTTGGACGGTAGGTGAGGCTCGGCACTTTTTTCACGGGCTGACCAGGCTGACGGAGGTTAACGAACTCTAACTGACGGGATCAGGAAGGCGAGACCCACCTTCCTGATCCCGTCGTTATCCCGTGGTTTTGTGCTATAATGGTGCTGGCGAACAGCCCCAATGTACATTGCACATTTTTTTCGATGTTCCAGGAGCCTTCCGTGATAACCAGCCGAAAGGCTATCAAGGTTCGTGATAAGCGCTTGGCTGCCGAGGCAGACCAAGCCCGAATGCCTGCCGAACGGTCTTTTTGGCAACCACAAATTTGCATGTCGCCGCTTTCCAGGAAATACAGCGTACTAGCAATCTGACGCATCCTTGATGCGCGCATGATGCAACGCCCTAAACACGCATGATGCGCGCATCAGCTCGAATTGGGGCAATTGAACAGCGCATCATGCATGTGGGGAAGGCGCCAGGTGCGTTCTTCCCCACTTCGATGAAAGCTCAATACCCTGGAATTCGTAGGAATTTTGGGGTCGAAATTTGACATGCCCGAAATTCGACATCCCCAATTTCCGATTTCCCGAACCTGCGTGTCCATTTTCCGAACCTCCATTTCCTAATTTCAATTTGGACATTACCGAGCCTCAATTTTTCAATTTGTCAATTTGCCGAGCCTAGGGCGCATCAGGCTCTGATGCGGCCGCCGAACGCGCCCCGAATCTCGACTCCCAAGTTGATTGGGCATGGCGAACTATCCCAATGTTCCAATCCAACCAAGGGAACAGCCAGGGCAGCAGTGTATGGTAGGCCAAGCTGCGTTCGGTGGTTGTAAAGGCGCAGCATGGTGATAGGCCGTGTGTCTGAAGCTCATGAGGAGTTCCGAGGTCTGGCTTCATATTCGACTTTTGCGACATGCATAAGGGAGGTGTGAGCGCACTTTGACATTGTTGTGCACAGACGTGAATCTGTGCACACGCACCTGGTCCTGTTTTCAAACCAGATGCAACCCGGTAACAACCACCAGGCGATGTGACGTGTGATTGCAGCACATCGGGTGGACGGGAGAGTGTCTGTATCGGGCAGTGGCAAGGTACAGCTGGCGTAATGGATCTGCCCTGGATCTGTTGACGCCCCCTGAAACAGCTTACGTGTCAGGACTTGGAGGGCGCATGTGGAAACGAGAACGTGTGGATTTCGCACACACTCATCAGCGAAGCTGTCCTTGGCCCTGAAACAGAGCAGCTGTGGGTGTGTATTGTCTGTTTTTCCGCCTGAATACATTCCTGGTTGTATCTGTGCAACTCGATCAGGTAGTCCCAAAGGTGCCTGTACCGTGGTTTCCAATTGGTGCAACACCAGGGCAAAAAACCCACGGGTGCATGGTTTCCAATTGGTGCAGGGCAATTTCGCGAGCAATTTCGCGGCTACCGTGTTAGCCGCACAGTTCCCCGCTCGAAAATGCTCCCCTCGCGTGCGCCTTGTATTTTGTGCAACCGCAGTGCTTTCTGTTCCAACCCTCGGTGGTGTGAGAGGTACACCCTCATTCTCAGTCTACGCACAATTGGGAGCACTGGCTACAGTGCGTACTGTTGCTTGGACCCTAGCGATCTGGTGCTTGGAGCCGAACTCTAGGTAGGTGGCGGGCAAACGCACTCCCAGGGAACTGTAAACAACGGTATGTAAACTTACAATTGGTTTTCCGTACGGTTGAGTACGGCAAATGTGCTTACAGCGTATGTTCTTGGACCATGTTGGACGCATTGATGTCATTACAGCTGGCATGTTCATGTGGCGATTGTGCACAGACTGAGAATGAGGGTGTACAGAATTCCCACTTGTGTCCACCTTCCTTCGCTTCTAGACACAGGTTACATCGCGCTCCGTGTGATCCAGGCGTTGCCGGTGAATGATCTGCACAAGAAGCGTGGGACGGATTTTATTTCAGGGCGTGTCTGAAGTGCAACGTCGAGTTTCGTCGGATTTCGTCGACGAAACTCAGCCGTGGGTCCCACGCTGTCGGGTGTCTGAAGTGCAGCCCGACGAAACCCGACGTTTCCCGACGAAACGAGTTTCGTCGGGGGATGTCGAACAGTAAAAACGGGCAGGTAACGAGTCACTGTATACATTTTGCGTGAGGAAAGGGTGTCAGCGCCACATCACCACACCACTGTTGCTCAACATCAAGACAAACAGCTCAACATTTGGTTCAGTTTAGGACCAGAACATCCAACCTCTGACAGCTCACCTTTGACATTCCAAACCATGCTGGAAATTTATGGGCAAGTAAAACAATTACGAAAGTGGCACGTGTGAGTTTTTTGTCGGTATGTGTGTCTGTAGTGCGAAACCCTAAAATTGAACGTCGGGTTTCGTCGGGTTTCGTCGGGCTTCGTCGGGTTTCGTCGACGAAACTATATTTTTCCATTTTACGTGCACTTCAGACACGCCCTCAGTGACGTTACACCTCTGTTTATACACGATGCCCAACCAATGCACGCGTATTTGGTCTGCCCAAGCTCGACAGCCTGCCCAATTGCAAGTAGTACCAGCCAGTTGTACGCACCTTTTTTTATCGCAGCCGTTGAACAAACAGCTTATCACGCTGGCATCCGTCCGTTCTTGAGATATTTTGAAGAAGCTGGTTACATTTCTTCACCTGCCCACTACAGTCCCGATTTTGCCCGTGACGAATTTCGGCGAGCTGGCGAAAAAGGCGTGCGCACTAGACACCAAAATGACCGAAAAGGTTGTGGGAGTCAAACGGGCATCCTGTGTATTTTGGAGGAACACGGATGGCAGATGAGTGGTCGAGAAGTGGCGGAACCCGCCAGAAGTGTTTTTGTCACACAGGAAAGGACGTGATACACATACAAATAACGTGAATCTTGTGAATCACGATTCAGGGTGTGTTCCTTGCTTGTGTCAGACTTCCGGTCTTCCAGGGATGACACGAAGCTCGCCCCACAGCTCGCCCCACTTTGGGTCATCCGAGACCCACTTCGGGTCTTCCTGAAAAAATTTGCCCCTGGCTCGGAAAACACGAAGTTTGACCAGAATGACACGAGCCAGGAACGCTCCCTCACACACTTTGTATGTGTACCTTGTGAATCGTGATACACATACGAATGATACCATATTTACACGTACACACGATGCCCGTTTTACTAACCTAAGGTTGCCTTGTGAAGAGGGCTCTTAAGTGATTCTTGCATTTCGCTAAGCTTTCGTCAATTCGCACTTAGCAAAAAGGGCTTTTAAAAGATTTTGTAACTCGCTGTTGACCGTTTGACATGGGTCTCTTCTGTCAAACTTCGGTTTTTGTGGTTCGTATTGCTCGAGGTGCTTGTAAATGGGGTGCAACTGGCTGGTACCCTAATACACGGGTGCAGAGTTTCCATCGCGGGCAGGGCAAATTCGCGTGCAGGGGTTGGGCATCTTATATATGAAGGACGCCATGGTTGTTACCACAGTGTACACCAAACCACTGCTTTTTTCATGTCCTCAGTTTGAACATTTGCGGGTAACTTCCCTGATTCTTGCTGAGAACGAGGGTTGAGAATAACGATATATGTTATTAAGGCCAGACACCTTTCGAGTACGAGGTCATAATCGCAGTCGCAACCAGAAAAATTGCCTGCACGACTGGGTCGTGGGTCTGATTCACTGGGGGTCTGCTCATCTGGGAGTAGATATATCCTTACCTCGATACCCAGCGCGGCGTGTAAACAAGTGGGTAGGCGGATTACGATCGACAGCCGGGGGTAACCCAAAAGGGGCTCTCCCCCTTCCTTTACCTTATCTGATCCACTAGGGGATAGAAAAACAGCCGACAACGGCCGACTACGGCCGACAGCCGACGGCCCCCTTCGGCCTACGGCCTTGTCTGATATAGCCGACTACGGTCTAGGGTGCGTCTAGAAAAACTTTTGGCTACGTGAAAAAAGCGGTGGTTAGGTGTACATAAGTTTGTGTCCGTAGTGATGACATGTCAACAATGTGCGCGTCAACCCGAAGCCTATTCGAATTGGAGTGTCAAATGTTAAATTGTAATGTGTTATATGTTGGTAGGCTGTAGTGGGGTAGCCAATATGGGGTACAACCCCAACTAGGGTTTCATATTTGTACCCAAACTTCTGCTAGTTCATTCATTCTTGCCTCGTTATT